GCTGTCAGTTAAGTGTTCAGCTCTTGGTTTCGGCTCAGGTTGTGATCTCAGGGTCCTGAGATCCAGCTCCTAGTAAAGCCCCAAGTTCGTTTTTGTACTCACCAGGGAGTCTGCTTGAGATTCTCTCTCTCCCTCTCCCTTCAACCTCTCTCTCTCAAAGAAATAAATAAATCTTTTTTTAAACGAAGATATAGGCTGAAACTAACAGATGGAAAAAGGTAGATCATGTAAACAGTAAGTATAAGAAGGCTAGAAGTATATATTTTTAAGCTATATTAATAACAGATATAATCATCTTGAAGACCACGAGTATTACCAGAAATAGAGAGAGGCCTCTGTAATGCTAAATGAGGTGATTTATTAAGAAGACATAACAATTATAAATGTGTATTAGCTTAATAACAGACTCCCAAAATAAATAGTAGCAAACAAACTGACAGAATTAAAGGGAGACATCAAAGACCTTGGTCTAATGGATATTTACAGAACTCTGTATCTAACTACAGACTACACATGATTTTTTAAGTTCATGTAGTCATCCAACAAAATGAGAATAGGTCACCATAAATTTAAAGATGTTGAAGTCAGTATATTTTCCATTTATGATAAAATAAAATTTAAAATCAACAATAACAAGATGCCTAGGAAAAAACAAAATTTGAAAAGTAAGCAACACACCTAATAACTCATGGGGAAAAAAGAAATTAAGGAAAATTAGAAAATATTTTGAATTAAATGATAATGAATAGACAACATATCAAAATCTGTGGGAGACAAGGGAAGGGGTGCTTAGAAAACACAAATAGCTTTAAAAACCTACAACATGAGGTTCTACCTTAAGAAATTAAAAACAGGGAGCAAGTATGACTAACATAAGTATAAGAAAGAAAACAGTCAAGGTAAAAGCAGATTTGAAAGAAATAAAATTGAGACAGATAGTAGAGATAATCAGTACTGTTAAAACTTCGAAGATCAACAAAATTAGTAAACCCCTACCCAGGCTGATCACAAAAAAGAGAGGTTGTAGATGATCAATATCAGAAATGAAACAGCAGTTATTACCACAGATAAAAAGAGACCACTGTGAATGAACAATTCTATGCCAATAAATGGGACAAAATGAAGTATACAAATATCATGAAAATTGTAACTTACTAAAATCAATATAAGAAAAAATATAAAATATAAAAAAAGATGTATATATGTTAGAGAATTTAAATTGATTATCAAAAGCCTTCCTAAAAAGGAAATTGCAGATCCAGATGGTTTTGTTAATGAATTCTATCAACTATTCTAGGAATGAATAATATAAATTTTACACACACTTTTTCAGTGACAGAAGAACAAACTGCCCAACTGATTTTATGAGACCAGAATTAATTTAATTAAAAAACTGGATAAAGTCATAACATGAAAGAAAACCGTAGACAAATATACCTCATGAATACAGATACAAAAAATTCCTTAATAAATATTAACAAATCAAATCCAACAATACAAGGAAAGGGTACTACATCATGACCATGTAGGATCTATACGAGAAATTCAAAATTAGCTACCCTTCAAAAATCAATCAATATAATTCACTATATTAAAAATATTAATAAGGAGGAAAGGAGAAAATTATTTCACAAAAATTCAACAGATACTCCTGATAAAAATTCCCAGGAAATCTAGAAAAAGTAGAAAACTTCCTCAATCTGATAAGAGACACATGAAGAACCTGTACCTAACATCCTATTTCATGCCTCTCCTAAGATCAGGAACAAGGCAAAAATGCCTGCTTCCCACTTCTATTCAATATTTTACTAGCGTTCTTAACCACGAGAGGGCAAGAGAAAGAAATAAAAAGCAGGAGATCAGAAATTAACTGTAAAACTGTTCCTGTTTACATATGGTTGTTTGTTTACATGGAAATTCTTAGAGCATTCTACTAGCAGCACAAATAGGTAAATTTAACAGGTCTAGGATACAAGATTAATGTTTAAAAACAATGGTATTCTACACTAGCAGCAACAGCTGAAAAATAAACTTGAACAATCCCATTTAAAGTAGTTCATACACACACACACACACACACACACACACACATAAAAAAGGGACTAAATTTAATAAACACACATATGTACATGTGAACTAAATCTAACAAAAACATTCAAGACTTCCTATATTGAATATTATAAAACATTACAGAGAGATATTAAAGAAGAAATGTGAAAAACAGAGCTTATCATGTGTCAATTATCCATGAAAAAGTTCTTAAAAACTCAACAAATTGTACACTTTAAATGTGTACAGTTTATACACATACAAATACCTCCATAAAGATGTAGAAATAAATAAATAGATAAATAGATTGGTAGATACATTGTGAGTTTTTAAAAGAAGAACTTGGTTTCAGATTAATTTTGCCAACATCTCCAGAATTCAGATCTTGTTGATCTATGCTGTGTGTATACATCAAAGCTGGCATCTATGGCTTTTAACCCAAGAGGTGTATGATGTCAAAAAATTAATTGCAAACATTGCTACTATTGGTACTATATAGTACAAACAATAGTATAATTCATTGGTTAATGAATCTCTAGGTCTGCACATGGTAAGCTTTGTTTTGTAGTCCTGAAGAAGGTCACAGTGCTTGGTATCTAAATATTCAACTATTACGCGTGATAAACAAAATGCTACTTGAAAGTTCTGGTCTGTCATCAAAGAGAAGAAGAAGTTTATTGGTCAATTATAAAACAGATAGCTTTTTTATAGTCTAAAATACAACCAAGACAGTTGAAGGTATAGCTGATGTTACACATTAACAGATTATAACTTTCCTTAATTCATTTTTAATTGTATAACTGTTATACAGTCCTGAAAATATATATTCCCTGACTTAGCTGAAGTTTGTTAGATATATCTTAAGTTCTGACTTTTGAAAAGATAAAGGATTCACTCAAGTCCACATCCAAACTTTGCAAAGAAAGCACCAATTGTTTCATTTATTCTATTAAACATTAAAGTAAGCATACCAGTTTCACAGTATCTTTTTGAAAGGTATTTAAAATATAATTTTTAAAGCCTTAGAAATACAAAATTGTCTAGACATTTTATATATTTCTACATGCATATATAAAACTGTTCCTATTTAATATATATTAAGATATGATTAAGATACACCTTGGGTAAATACCAAAACACATGTTGAAAAAATACCAGTTTCTTTGTGTAACTCTGCAGATACTTGAACAATAATAATAATACACTATTATATTTCAATATTTTATATTAAGGCATGGGACTATGTTAGGAGAATATGAGCTGGTAGAACTTAAATTCATGTGTACATATACATATGGGTGTATGCGTGTGTGTATGCAAATGTATGTGTATAAATCTCTTTCTAGATAAGTTTTAAAGTGTAATACACACATGATCTATCACAGAGATAGGTTCATATCCATTTTGTTTGTAACAGTCTTCCTAGCTCTTTAAAATATATCTTACAAAGGAAAATCTCTTGTTTTCTTGCTAAGATTTTGGAAAGATGTGCCAGTGTTAATATTCCAAAAGCCTCAACTTTACAAGCGTTGGAGACTTCTGGAAAGACCGCTTGTAGTAAAGAACATCTTTACTGAAAGGCCCTGGTGAAGCATTGCGGTTTTCTTTCATGACTTCATTATGCTTTAGTACCACACACTCCTTGCAGGGAAGCCTGGCCACACGGACCTCCCTCTGCTCAGTGGCGATGAGATCAACTGTCATAGATGATGCCCGCTAAATAATGGCTACATAACAGTCCCCTGACATTGTTTTGATGGCCATAAAACATGTTATGTGATTGCCTTAACATTCAAACTCGGGGACTGACTGAGAGAATATTATTTCTAAATGCCAAGCTAACTAGAATTGTGGAGATTTTCAGTAGGCACTTCTTTTATTAGTGTTTGAGGCAATTACAGAGAGAATGGGTCAGTGCAATTTTCCTCCTGCACTGGGAAAATCTTTTCTTGCTACTGAACGAAAAGGTATTCAAATTCAAATCAAGTTTCTCATCAAAATGTTCTGTTTTTGAGAGACATTACAAATAAGTAGCGCCCCTCCCCCCAACTCCCACCAATCCGGTTGTATTCCCAGCAAGGTCAGCGTACTTCATTACAAATAATACCATGTTAAATCAACAGGTAGGATCAACCTGCTTTGTGCTTTATGAGAATTTAACTTCTTGACACCCTATATATGACATATGTTTCTTTGATTTCTCTCTTAATGATATAATCTCTTAGGATATTATGGAAAATCAGATATAAAATGGATACGAACCCTTTTACTACACGTTAGCCCTCTCTCAATAAACAAGTTTTCAATGAATTCAGAAACGTCATAATTCAAGTATTGTATTTATTAAAATGACATTGAGTATGATAAGAGGCCTTGGAATATGAGGAGAGCAGTCTGAAAACTAAGTTTAGAGGCTTGATTGAAAATTCCTTGTTTCACCTTTTGTTTTATAGTCATAATGGCATAGCCAAGAAACTTAACCTATAAGTATTAAGGGAAAAGAAGGCAAGGTGACTAGATAATTTAGTGTTAAAGAAAAATTGACAGAATATCTTCTTAGTGAGAAAAAATGGAAAAAAATGTGTTGACTTGCTTTTTATAAGAATTATTAAGATTAGACGTTTCCATTGACCAATGAGGAACAAAATAATATAATTCCCTTTTTTTATTCTATGACTCAGAAGCAAAAGTACACAGTGGAGTACCCGCTGTCATTGTGAATGTCTCTAGATAAGTTGCCCCAATTCAAAATCTGGAGAGGAAAAACAGGTGTGTGTGTGTGTGTGTGTGTGTGTGTGTGTGTGTAGATTGATAAAAGACAGAAAAAGAGACTTGTCTTATGAAATACTATGTCACAAATTAAAATTCCAAAGAACAAGATTCTAAGAAAGAAAATAATTTCAAACAAATCATTTATTTCCCTTAATACAATAAAACCCATAGCAACTCACCTAATCTCTCGATGGAATAATATCGTTGTTTACTATCCACACGCACTGTCTCAGCATAAGGGCTCCCAACACCATAGCCAATGATGTAACCTCGCACCACGATGTTTGGGTTCAAGGGAGGAGTCCAACTCATGATGATGCAGTTGGTCTGGGGCCTCACATGAAGAGAGCTTGGTTGGTCAGGGACTTGAGACTCTAAAGTTCAAAGGAAGCATTATTAGTCTGTCTCATCCTAGAACATATAGCATGGTAAGACTTCCCATTTAAGCAAGACTTAATATTATATTCCATAGACCCTCAAATGGTTCATCACTTACTGCCCAAGTTCCTCTTTGTGTCGACACGTGATATATTTTCCATGTTTCATTCGACTTTCACAGTTTCTTTTTTTTTTTTTAAGATTTTATCCATTCATTTGACCGAGAGAGAGATCACAAGTAGGCAGAGAGAGGGGGTAGCAGGCTCCCTGCTGGGCAGAGAGCCTGACGCGGGCTCGATCCAAGGTCCCTGAGATCATGACCAGAGCCAAAGACAGAGGCTTAATCCTCTGAGCCACACAGGCGCTCCTCGACTTTCACAGTTTAAGCACAGAAGGCCCTGAGTTCTGTCCAGAGACATGCAGCATCATGCACCTTTATCCTAATGCTTTTTTTTTTTTTCTTTTGGGCTGTTCCCCCTACCCCCATATAACTCTTCTTAGGTCTCATCAATACTGAATGAAATCAAAGAGAAAGAGAATAATAGAGAGGGAAATGAAATGTCAAAATTGTCTTGCCCAAGGTTTATTTACTTTGATTTAACTAAAAAACAAAAATAGAGCAGTCTTTTCTGAAGAAATTGTCAGGAGAAACAGTTTAGGGCCATGATTTGTTCAGCGTAATTAGGATGGCACTTGACCCATAATTTAGTGCATCTCTGAAAAGCACACTCATTGTTAAAGAAAAGGAGACAGTGTCTGGGATTGCAGCCACACAGACTTTGGAGTGTGCAAATTTGGTTTCAAACCAGGCTCTGTCATTTACTAGCTGTGCATCCTCATGAAGTTATTTGTGATCTCCGAGATTACCTTCTAATTAAATTGGCATTCCAAATATTGATTGCTTCAAAGCCTGGGCTCTGGAAGTAAGAGTTCCAATTTGTACTGTACACTCATCATCTCAGAGAAACCTTAAGACCTTTTTCATCCTATCTCCATTTCCTCATGTGTAGAATGAGGCTAAAGATAGCAATGGTCTCACAGGATGCTGAAAAGATTTAATGAGATAATGAGTAAAAGTGCTCTCATTATGAGTAGCACCATCTGATATTAGTTGTTAGGGAGTAAATGTACATGCTAAGTTTTCTTCGAAGGAGATGGTGTGTTGAAATTAATATATTGGAATTCTGGTCTTTATATCATCCTTCTCTCTGATCCCACCCCTAAAGAAATGATGCATTTTCTGAACAATTATCATCATTCACTTAATAAATATTTATAGAGCACCTACTATGTTGGGGACTGGGGCAAAGTACCCATGATGATCAGGGTATAGGACAGAGTCTATATGGCAGACAGAAAACATGCACCTTTGGAGTTTATAGTTTAATGGGAAAGACAAGTAAAGAGGCAGTTATAATATACTATGATACACATTTTGATAGGATTAATACAGGCACACATACCCTGTTTTATGAAAATCATAGAAGTATTCTGGGAAGAAATTTAAGAAATAATGTGCCCATCTAAACTTCAGTCATCCATTAAGTGCTCAGCCCAATATCTGGCAATTAATGGGTACTCAAAAATATCAGTGATATGAACTTTATTCAAACTGCTTGTGCTCATTATTTCTTTCTTAACTGAAAATCTCTAAAGGTAACATATGTCAGATGAAGCAAAAGAGTTTGATGATTAAAGGTAATATTAAAATACATTTTTTCCTTGATATAATAGCAAAAGGTGATATAATGTCTACTACCAACTTTAGCCACCTTCAACACACATGCTCAAGTGATATATGGAAGCCTGTTTTTTTGTTGTTGTTGTTGTTTTTTTGATTTTTATTTTATTTATTTATTTGACAGAGATCACAAGTAGGCAGAGAAGCAGGCAGATAGAGAGAGAGGAGGAAGCAGGCTCCCTGCAGAGCACAGAGCCCGATGTGGGGCTCAATCCCAGGACACTGGGACCATGACCTGAGCCGAAGGCAGAGGCTTTAACCCACTGAGCCACCCAGGTGCCCCGGAAGCCTGTTTTTTTATTAGAGTTTTTAAAGTAGGTCCCATACTAACAGCTTTTCAAAAAGATGCTACCTTCTAAAGATGCTACACCAACAGCATTTTCTAAAGGGTTTTTTTGTTTGTTTGTTTGTTTGTTTTGTTTTTGTTTTTTTTTCCTGAAGATGCCCGTTTGTGAATGAAAAGGGACAAGATTTTGTCTGCCCTAAAGAAGCCTGTGGGGGTGCCTGGGTTAAAGCCTCTGCCTTCGGCTCGAGTCATGATCCCAGGGTCCTGGGATCGAGCCCCGCATCGGGCTCTCTGCTTGGAAGGGAGCCCACTTCTCCTCCTCCCCTCTCTCTGCCCGCCTCTCTGCCTATTTGTGATCTCTGTCTGTCAAACAAATAAATAAAATCTTAAAAAAAAAAAAAAGAAGCCTGTGACATAATATGCAAAGGTGTCACTAAAAAATTACCTCAAAATGGGGGTATAAATCTTAACAACAGAAAAACAATGTTTGTGAAGGATTTTCCACTATAAACCCTAAGGAGAAGTAATAAAAGAGATAAAAGGAATGGATTAATAATTTTCAACTCAATTGCCCCAGAGGCTCTCCAGTGTCCTTGAAATGTAATGGGCTCTACAGTGAATTCTGTTGAACACTTGTGAAGCTTTTGCAATAATTACTGAAAACAACAAGAAAATCTGCCTAATCTTGTATTTAGAAAATGAATTAATGTTATGACTTTTAAAAAACAATATGAAAACCTATGATTTTAATGACAATTTTTAATATCTTTTAGAATAAAAGGAAAAATATATAAATGTTTTCAAAACAATCACTTCTCCATGTTTCTGTAAGCCATAGAGTAGCTCCCCTATGAGTTAGTTAGGTCCGTATCCACAGAATTACATCCACTGGAGTTTTATAAAGGGACCAGGGTAATGAATGCACAAATGCTCTGGAAGAAGAGGGACTCTTGGTACACAATAATCATCTTTTTTTTCTGCATAAATGTAGTTTCAATCATAGATCCAAACCTCGATACAACTTTAACACGATAAAAATAAGGGTCTCTATACATAAGAATATATGCTGCCTTCCGATCTAAATATTTAATGGGCTTTTACCACCCTTTAGGATTATAGGGCCATAAGAGAGTGTGTTCATCAAGGTAGTAGTACATAGTACACCTAAGTCATTCATAATATATAGCGTCATCATAAAAATAACTGTGTTAGGAGATAGTTCATAATCTAGAATAGCCAGTTTGTAACCAACCACCTACTCACTTCTTAATGTAAAGAAAGAAATGACATTTACCTTTTATGTGACCTGAGTCAGTTTTCTCTAACACAGATGACCTTATGGATTAGGAAAATGGTTACTACTAGAATGAACTATAAAACATCAATTTAGAAAATTTGCCGTGAAAGTATGTGACATGTTTTAAGACTGAAACTGAAATTCGCTACTCAGAAGTACATGAAAGATTTTACCAGTACCTCTAGGACAATAATTGAGTATATAAAGCATTGAGAAGTATTAAGGTAATTATTGAAATAATTTGAAACCAAAGAACACATTTTGCCTGAAATATCCAAATTAATGAGCCCCAAATTTCTACTGAAATCTGAATTATCACAATAACTAGGTCAACTGCCATTCTTGATTACACTATAGAATTATGGATTCTATCTTGGTTTAATTTGTTCCTACAGAACAGTTATTATTTTTTGAGTGACGATTGTAATTTTCACTAATGAGTAGTGTTCACAGATAGCACATAAGAAATTTATCATATTAATCCCCATGATGTTTCAACAATTATTATACATCCCCTATGTGCCAGTCACAGTCCTAGGTACTGGGTATATAGGTTTTTTTGGAGGTAAGATGAACAAAATAAGAATAAACACACAAGGAAACTGGGAGATCTTGTAAATATTACGATGATGGAATAGTAACTGACTCAAGGAAGGTATTCCCAGTAGAGTCCAAGGTGAATGATCAGAAAGAGCCAGTCGAGCAAACAGCAGGCTGGAAAGTTTTACAAGAAGAGGGAATAACTACTACTAAGGCCCTACAGCAAGAATGAACCTGGTATTTGGAGAAATCAAAGAAGGTCATTGTGCCTGGACTAAGAAGGAAAATGAAGAAGATAAAAAGAAAGTTACCCAGTGGGAATGTAAAATGTCACAAATGCTATGAAAAACAGAATGGAAGTTAAAAAAAATAGAATTATCATAGATCCAATAATTCCACTCTGGGTATATTCCCCAAAGAATTGAAAGCAGGAACTCAAAGAAATATCTGTACACCTGTATTCATAGCACAGTTTTTCCACAATAACCAAAAAGTAGGTGAGACTTAGATATCCATCAGCAGATGAATGGATAAACAAGTTGGGGTATATACATACAATGGGATATTTTTAAGCTTTTAAGAGAAGGAAATTCTGATACATGCTATAACATGGGTGAGCCTTCAGGACATTATGGTAAGTGAAATAAGCCAGACACAAAAGGACTAAAATTGTGTGATTCCACTTGAGATACCCAGAGTAGTCAAATTCATAGCACCAGAAAGTAGAATGGTGATTGCTAGAGGTTGAGAGGAAGGTGGAGTAGGGAGTTATTGTTTAGTGGGAACGGAGTTTCAGTTTTGCAAGACAAAAAAATGTTTTGGAAGAGAGTGGTTTTGATGATGGTCACACAACAGGGTGAATGTACTTAAAGACACTGAACTGTATACTTAAAACTAGTTAAGATGGTTACTTTTATGTTATGTGCATTTTAAAACAATTTTGAAAAATTAGGAAACCCTAAATATGTTTTTATACTTGTTTGGGTGACCATTGTGGAAATGTAGTGTGCATATTTGGGACATTTGGGAGGTGAAATCAACAGAGGTATAAACTGGATGTGAATGGTGTGGAAAAGAAGAGACTCAATGAAGACTCACAGATCTTTGGCTTGGGCAACTGGGGATGACCTAC